AAAAAGGTCAGCCACAGACATCTGTAACTCCTAAATACTGTAAATAAGCAAAATAGATGTCAATAGATGGGACAAGATCAATTATGTCAGATAACCCTGAAGTGCAGGGTCATTTTTCATTACGTAGTGCACATTAAAGCAAAGGTCTCATTATTTTCAGTCAAGAAAGTCAGTTTATATGCTCTAAGATGACTATTTTGTACTTACGATCCTGCAAAAGATAAGCCTTCACAGACTGTCCACTTCCCTGACCATCAGCATATAGAGGGTACACAGTTATCAAGTAACACTTGAATGGCTTTATATCACCTAATAAAAGGAATTTAAAATGTGTTGTTTCACAGTCAAATTTCTCACCGTCCTTCTCATTTATTTCAGATACAAGGTTCTGGGTTTTGGCTGTTTCATTAGATGCATTTGTATCTAATGCAGCTGACTATTTTTTTCCTAGAGCTCATTGACATACTGCTCCAAAATATTAACTAAAGGAACAATATAATGGTTCACATTCAAATCTTCGATTTCATAAACAGACTTCACAGAAGTCTGTTTTTTTAAAATTTATTTTAAATAAAAAGCCTTTATCAGTCTGCAGCACTGAACCCAAAATTGTTGATTTGAGGAACTAATCATAATCTGAAAAGAACTGTAAAGCCGATCAAGTTTCATTGTTTGAACTGAAAGAGGGATCAGAGAATTTGATTTTGACGGAACTCAGCCTTTTCACCATTTTAATGGTTTCTAAGAATGAGAAGAATAAAATGCAGATAAAACCCTTGCAGTTACATAATACAAATTTCAAAATGCAAGACTAGATACAGTTTTATACTTGACAAAAATACACAGATACTTCCACACTCATGATAAAGAGAAGCCCCCAGTATTATCCCAGATTCCTGTCCTACAGTAAGATTCTAGTCAGCGTGAGGATGTTCCTCACTTTGAGAATACTTACTAGGTTCTTAGAATGTTCTACAAAGTATCTGTAGACTTATGAGCTAAATACCTTTTAAGTATGTTCCTTGAACATTTCCTGGTTCATTCTGCCATTCTATAATGCAGTCTGAGCTGCTGGACACCAGACACCATTCGATCACGTATTTAAGAACGTAACTGTTAGGAGCAGTCCACCCTATCCACAACTTGCCATCTTTAGGTAGTGTTCTAACATTCTTCACAGGAGCTGTTATGCAAGAAAACAGAAAAGTGATAAATATTGTCAGTTCTTCCACTAGATATTAATAATAATAGCTATTTTGTCAAATGTGGATACTTTTGGGTTACTGTAATGGTGACAAGTTGGCAGAACTTAAGTAAATGTAAAAGCCATTTTCTGAAATTTGGAAGCTTACATCTGAATCTCTGTATCAGAGATCCACAATAAGCAGTATTATGATATTTAAAAACTGGAAACTAGACTCAGCTTCTCTGTTGTCAAATACAGTTGTCTTATTGCACAGTAAAGAGGTACCATGTTTTTTCCAAAAGAAAGCATCTGTTTCAGAGAGAAATCAAACCTTGAGACACTTCTAAATTCCCATTCTAATCTTCACACTCATGTACCTTACCAAGTACTTCGGGTTGCAATGCTACTGTTTGAAACATACCCTTAATTAGTTCATCTAATAGTTTTAGAACCTGTGGTTCTCCCTTGGTGTTTACACTAAAAGCAGCATCTGTCCATATATATACTTATTTTTCCTTCCTGTCCTGGTAGTTTTCGGACTGTGTAAGAGGTTGGAAGTAAGGAAAAACCAGCCTGTAGTTACTACTACTGCACAATGAAAGGAACATAATAAAAAGGAACATGAACAGTAGGGAAACAGTGTAAGCAGATGACAAAGGAACCACAAGATACTGAAAATGTGGGAGAGTGAGACTGGGACAAGAGAAGAAAGGGGCCAGGGGGAGATCAGAAGGAAGAACAACGGCGACTGGTATAAACAGGAAGTAAAGGATGCTTGCTTCCCGAAACCTTTGATTTTTTAAAGAAAATAAAACAAACATGCTTGCTATGCTTAAAAACAATAGGGAATACAGCACACAGTAGCTCTAAAGATCAAAAAGAGTAAAATAGCACACATAGCTTCAAACGAACCTGCCAATACACAAATCTGCGCATTCCCTAGTATACAGATGGTAGTATAATCATAAGGCGTAAGACTGCAGATACATGCAGTAATACTTTAATTATATGTCCATATAAAGGGCATCATTTTACAACACTGGATTTCTTATAAGAAAAGCCATGCAGATGCATTTGAAAGAGACATTACTAGGACACTAACCTTTGGAATTACTCGCTGGGATAAGTAAAACTGATGGAGGAGATGCCCCGACTCTGTTATGGGCAATCACAGTCACTTCGTAAGTTCCATTTTGCAGTTTTAACGTAAGGTTGGTGGTATTAACATTGTATTTCTGTGGTGGACTGGAGAGAGATGATTTAGCTCTGACAGTCACTTCATACTGCAAGACTACTCCATTGGCTTCAAATGGCTCCAATGCCTGTTAGAAACACATCTTTGATTATACCGGTACTGAACAAATGCAATTTAACCTTCTTGTCTTTGATGCATAATGTAAAAATCTGAGAGCAAGACAAGTTATGTGTATCAAATAGCTGCATATTTAAGGAAAGTGCAAATAACCTGCATTCATTTCTGTAAAGCACTAGCTTCTATAACTATTTCTGCTTTAAATTCTCTTTTTCTTGGCTCACAATCCTACCTAGTAGTTTAATAAAAGCTATTCTGTAAAGACTGCAGAACATGTGTTGATAAAACCTGCATTTTTATGTGACTTCACAATACAATGACATAAAAGGAATCTCGTGTCTTAAGCTGTGTTGAACCTGAATGCAAACCAGCCTGAGTAGTTTTATTACACATGGAAAAATACTTGTTTCTATGTTATTAGATAACACAGAAAAATACTGTGTTTTCATCTAACAGTATTACTTTTCAGATTACAGTTTCAACAATTTTCTCTTAAGTAGCACTCGTTTTCCAATTCAAAGCTAAATAATGTCAGAAGTGGCATGACTTACATCAGAAAATGATGCAAGATCAATATACATGTAATTTCACACAAACCACCTATTAATAGGGAAAAGGGACAATAAAAAGACAGCTAGATTAAACGTGACTAAGTTCATGGACCAAAAGAAAGCAGGAGATAGGGACTGATCAGGACTGCATTCACTTCCTCAGTTTTGGACTGATCAGCCAACTACATACAGCAGCCTACTGCACACAAACATGCAGTGCTGTATTTAGTAAGTTTGGCTTCTGGAACGTCTCTAGGCTTAATGGATGTTGCAGCTGGAGTATCCCTGTAGAGACAGTGTTACAAACGTTTTAGTATACAGCAGAAGGTTTACTTTGTCCAAGTGAAACTTTCAATTCCACAGACTGCTTAAGGCAGCAGGTCAGCAATATGAAAGTGGATTCTGTATACTCTGGATCACAGATGTATGCCAGTTAACTGATGGCCTTTAGATCTGTACTTTTAATTTTTCATAACTAATAAGAACAGTAAAGTCACTTCTTGTATCAATAAAACCTGTACTATCCCAGCTATCCACTCAAGTTCGTTGAGGTAAATTTTGCCACTTAAAAACTCATGTTTTTAAAAGAATGCTCAATTCCTGCAGTTTCTTGTGCTGCTTTACCTTCCACATCAGACGCACAGTCCAGGAAGCTGGTGAGTGAGACGCATCAATGATCCTCCATATGGATGGTCCTTTAGAAGGTTCTGATGAAAGAAACAATGCTTAATAGTAGAAATATTTTTATCTAATTTGTTTGAATTCATCCTTTGACTATCATTATATGCTTTTTTTTTTTAATAAAAGCACATACAAAAAGCATTTCCTTAGTTCCTCAAAGAAAATAACGCTTGGTATGTTATGTGGAACACCTGCACAGAAAGATTTCCTAAAGGGATGAGCAAAACATCAGTTCTGCTCTAAGTGTACAGTATCAAAATAACTGAGAGTCACCATGCTGCACGTCTGCAACAATGGGCTGAAGATGACAGTGCTGAGTGAGGCACAATCAAACTTACACCATGCAGCCTGTTTCCAGAGGTACAGCCCTGCAGAGTTGCATACTGTAAACCGTGGCATGGTCTGTAGTGCCAACACTCTCCCTACCCCTCGATATCAAGTCACCTAAAAAGGCCAAGTGCAGAAAAGTTAACAAGGAGACAAATTTCTCCTGCTAGAATTCCCCAAGTTTCCTATATCCTTTATGCTAGGCTAAAGAATGGCAGTACTTTTGTACAATACTATAATACTTTCTGGCATCAGTGCAGTAAAAAAAAAAAGTCAAGTGGTATTACCACTACAAATTTCATTTCAAAGTAGAATGAACCAACCTATTACAGTGCATAAAGCAACAGAAGTGGCCAAGCCTATGTGAGGGCCTTAGCTCTACTAAAAAGATCATCTTAAAATGCATTTATATTTATAATCTTACGAGACTGTATTTTCTCTGGGAGTTCTTTTATTGCATAATCGTTATCAATTTTTGGCTGTTTTATCTCCAAAAACCATAACCAAGTCTACTGTGTGCGTCTTGTCTCTTATGCTTTACATCAGGAGGGAAGGACAACTGGCAATTGAAGCAAAGGGAGCTCTTCCTTAACAATCTTATTTGAGTACCGTGATTTGATTCAAATGAAACAGAAGCAATTGCACATCTTGCCTAAGACAGATCATGAATGCAATATCATCTGTCTCATGTTCATTTCCTACTGTCCTATGTTCTGAGGCTAAAATAAGACACAGGTACTTAATCACTAATAGCGCTATTTTTGCCAAGCCAGTCACCACAGCAGAACAGCAAGGCAGCCTCAAAAGGCCAGCAGTCCTGAAATCCTCATTGCTCCTGCTGAGATAGAAACCACAGAAAATAAAACCACACTGTCGTTAGAAGCTGAAAAGCGACTAGAATATTGAAAGAATATTTTACAATATCTTCCCCAGAGAAAGTAAATTTGCATAGAGCTGAAGAAATGCCATTATGTACACATAAACTCCATTTCATTTAAACAAGTAGAGTATACACTACAATCTTTTTCTTACTTCTCCAATATAAGATGACATGTGAATTCAATCAAAACTCATTACTGGGAACTCAATTAGGATAAATAAGGAAAGATTTCTTCTCCAGTGCATTTAAGCTCCAAGCACAAAGTGGTATTTCGACAGTGAAACCTCTATTGGTTTAAGTCTACTTAAAGACATGCACTGAAATGCTGCACTAAGTAGACTGCTTAAGAAGAGTGCAAGCAGGGAAGGCTAAACCACATTAAAAAAAAAAATCATCAACCAGGCTGACTTAGAAGCTAAACAGATATTACAAAGTATTTGTAGCAGTCAGAAGGAAGAATAGATTCTCTACTGGATATCAAGCACGCTACCAGAAGGTCTATTCACTGGCCCCATATGGGGTAGGATCAGTATAGGTTAGAAACAAAGGCAATCTTGCAGGCTATTAAAGAAGTGAAACAGAAACGGGATCAAGCTAAAGTAGTTTGACACCTCACAATCCTAGAATTGGAAAGGAAGAGTTTCTAACTGACAATAACCAAGTTCCTGGAAAAACAAGACATAAAATCCTCTCATTGTTTAATTCTCTTTAAAGTCAAAACCAGCACGTGATTCTCAATGCTGCTGCTACTGATGATTCAGGAGGAAACCAAATAAGCTTTTAAAAATCAAATCCCTTTGAGAGCGATTTACGAATTCTAGAATCCCCAGAAATCAGTGCCTGCAGCAAACCTGCTCTGCTGGATATAAAGACCCTTGGCTACAGTCACTACTTGGAGGTACAAAGCAGATGTTTCCTGATAAGGATTAGGTAGTAAAACAATTGCCAAAAGATTTCAAAGTTGCCAGAATGCTTGCGTTACTCATCAGCATCATGATTTCACATTGCTGCCTTTGCATTTAAGGATTCTGTTGAAATTTCACTTGATATTTACAGTATGTACCCCTTGCAAACGCAACACTTGGATAAAACCATAGGGAAATATAGAAGTACACCTTTCTTAATACAGCGGTAGTAAATACACCTGTATCTTGGTAGCTTGCTGCTGAGACAAACACCAAATCTTTTGAATGCAGAAGGCAAGCAGATGTGGAATCTTCTGGGATATGGGTCTGAGTCTTAGACAAAGCACAACATCTAAAAGGCAGTTTTATAATTTGATTGAGGGCAATAATAATGGTATAAGTAACTTAAGTGTGCAGTGTCTGCTTGTTTCATTTAATCTTCGCAATAGGCAACTGTACAACAAAAATTGATGAATAAAGTTTTGGTACAGGTTTTCCCAAAATTGCAATTTTGAAGTCCCTCGTGTGACCTGACACTTACCTCACAAGCTCCTTTCCAACTTAAGTTATCCCACTATCCTATAAATTTCCAAGTGTATCTGAGCATTTGCAAGAGGTGACCCAATCTCTGAAATTGTCTGTAAGCAAACTCAAAACAGGAACTTCTTTTACTGTCACCTTATTGCTATAACAGCAAAAAATGCTAACTGATTAGCAAGCAATGCAGAAAATGTGTGACTATCCTTTTATCATCAGCAAGGGTAGCTACAACAATTTGTTAAAATACTCTTCTACCAGCAGAAAAGAGGCTGTATTTACATTTGCAGTGTATCACAACTAATGGCACAGGTATTCCTCAACAGCTTACTGCACACTGAAATTAGTTCATTTTACCTTTAGCAAGAAGCAAGACAGTAATGTAGGGTGTTCTGACACCAATAGAGGTTCAGATTCAAGAAGACACCAGTTAGCACCTCTCAAGCATCTATTAAAGACATTAAATTAGTTCCAGTTCAGTCTAAGTGGGCTATTCAGATGAATGACAAAAGGGAAAGAGACCACAAAAAGGCAAGTTGTACATCAAAGCCTAGGGCTTTTATTTGGAGAGCAAATTAAAGGGCCAAATGCATAGGTCTAGGTTGTGTTCGTATCTACACTGCATGTATATTTGTTCTGTTATGGCAACTGTAGGACTCCACTATTTCAGAAGATGATTTTTCATACTGTAACAAATGCATGGGTGTATTTTTAATGTCAGTGTTTCAACAGTCACTGCTCAGTTGTTGTTGTGCAACTTTATTTTGTACAAGATTACAGTCGCTGCAACAATTGCTAAGTCATGAAATGCTGCAAAACAAGACAGCCAAACAAAATTTACAAAAAATCAGTACTACAAAACACTAAACAAACTCAACTAACGGTTTTAGCACAACTCAAGTGGCAAAAGGCAGAGTCTCTGTACTTAAGAGCAAACTTGCAGGAGAGCCCCTCTAGTGGGGAAAAGTTGCAATGACTTCCATGTCTATTAAATACCTAACACAGCGAGTTACAGTTACTTTAATGCCAGTACATTTCAAGCAATCATTTGTTCATGAGCAACTGCAAGCAATCGAAGTTAAAAAACATGCTGTGGAATACAGTGGACACGGATCTTAGAAGGCACTGACTGCAGTAACAGCCTCAGTGCCACTGTCCTGAAGGAATATGAATGAGTCCAGGGTGATGCACCACACCTGCGGAACATACAGTTCAATGGAAACATACAGTGTCGTAACAGCTGACTGGAGCACCACAAGGAGTTGAAAGACTAGCCAAATTGATGAGCTGGTTGCAGTGTGAACAGACTTGGTGCATGGCAGCAACTTTACAATGCTGAGGATTTGTTCCACAAAGCAGTGAAAGCTGACATTTGACTGAGGCTCTTAAGCAGCTTTTTTTTTTTTTCCCCATGGCTGTGAACTTAAAGCTTAACCTAGTAGTTTGCTATTTTTTGTGTATTGTCAAAGTATAAACTGATTACAATTTAAGTTGTATATATCCTGCTTGCAAAGACCTTTTGTGGAACACTAAACATGACCCAAATACCGCTCCCAAAGAACTAATACAGGTAAGAAGTTTTCCTCATTAAACCATGACAGCAGTAATTCAGTGTTCAATCCTAGTGCAAAGGGACAGGATTATTACAAGTCCAGATCTACAAGATAACAACTCCATTGTTTACATCATCACAAAGGCAAATTATATAGAAAGTGATTTTTGTGATTAAATATAGCCAAAATAAAACTATATTCCACACAGACTCAATCTTGCTTTAGTCAGCAGTTTATAGGTGGCATTCTCCTTCTTATGCCTCCCGCAGTGACAACCATATCAGTGATGAGCCGCACCACTCTTGATTACTGTGCATAGAATATCATAAACAGGTCAGTACAAGACAGTGTAGAGGCAGCTGTACATGACTGACAAGGAAGAAAGTGTTGTAGATGCAGAATACCTTAGGAAAAGTCAAGAGTAAACCAAAGTGGTTTATTTAGATGCTTTGGTGCCTAAAAGGCTACACCTCCCATATGCACATGAGCCAACAGGGAAGAAGACCAGCCTGGTTGAACAGAGAGCTGTGGCTTGAACTCAGGAATAAGAAGAGAGTTTACCAACTTTGGAAGAAGGCAACCCAGGAAGTGTACACAGATGTTGTCAGGGTATGCAGAGAGAAAATTACAAAGGCAAAAGCCCAGCTAGAATTCACTCTGGCAACAGTCATAAGAGATACCAAAAAAATGTTCTTACAAATATGTTAACAAAAGGAGGACCA